ATTGTTGGATCTTAGCAATGGTGTGCCCTTGGTCACCTTTGCACCTTGGAAAAATCGCTACAGCTTGACTGAGAGGTGAGAGCAGGAGAGAAGCTAGTCACACTGCTGACAAGGCATGGCCCATGCCACAAATGCAACACAAGCACCATGAGAGTGGCCTCTTAGAGACAGAAGACAGTGTTGATGGAGCGTCACGACCGACGTTAAATAAGACAGAAGACAGATCTGGGGTGACCTTGAGGTTTCTGATTTTAGACAACAGAATTGAGAGTCTCACGCATTAGCATAGAAAATACAAGGATGAGAACAGGTCCCAAGAGTTGATGAGCACAGTGCATTAGAAGACTGCTTCCAACTTCCCCCTTCTCGGCCTCAGAAGAACAAGCCTTGGATGGGAAGAAACATTTCCTCCGAAGAGACAATGCTCTTTCCAGTATATACATCCCATGGCATCTAGCCAAGGCCACTGACACCCTCTTCTTCAGTCATGTGAGAGGGGCAGAGTGGCTGACTGGCACTGACTGCCAGGAGGATTGCTATATAGGGGGGCAACTGGTGCATACTCTTAAAGATGATCTCACCCCATTTTTCTCTATGAAGGTGAAGTTTTATTCCAACTAATGCTTTACAAATGCTGTGTTTCTCCTGGTGACTCTGATATCCAGATGAGAGGGATAAAAAGAGTTCAGGGTCTGCCCCAGGGCTTTGTACCAGGCACACAGTTGCCCTGGATAGTTTTATGTCAACTTGACACATGCCAAAGTCATCTGAAGGGAGGGAACCTCAACTAAGAAAATACCTCTCATAAGAGAGGGCTGTAGGCAGGCCTGTAGGGTATTTTCTTAATTAGTGATTGATAGGGGAGGACCCAGGCCATTGTGAGTGAGGCCACCCTAGGCTGGCAGTCCTGGGTTCTATAAAAAGAAAGAAAGAGAGAGAGAGAGAGAGAGAGAGAGAGAGAGAGAGAGAGAGAGAGAGAGGGAGGGAGAAAATAAAGCAGGCTGAGCAAGCCATGAGGAGCAAGGCAGTAAGCAGCACCCCTCCATGGCCTCTGGATCACCTCCTGCCTCCAGATCTTTGCCCTAATTTAGTTCCTCCCCTCACTGCTTTTGATGATGAACTGTTATATGAAACTGTGGGCAAAACAAGCTCTCTCTTCTCCAAGTTGCTTTTGGTTTGTTGTTTCATGAGAAAACAGAACCCCAAACTAAGACAACAATGTTGTGCTTTCTCAGACTTGATAACTTGTAGTAGGAGCTGCGGGCCTCTTCCCACATCCTGGCCCTGGTCACCTGGCTAGCTTATGCCCCAAAATAACAACACACAAACTGTATTCTTTTAAACACTGATTGGCCCATTTCTATTAATGTGTGTAACGCCCCAAGGTGAGCTTACCGGGAAGATTCTAGCCTATGTCCATCCTGGGTCGGAGCTCCATCACATCTGCTGGGGAGAGGGGAGCATGGCGTCTGAGCTCACTTCCTCTTCCTCCCAGCATTCTGTTCTGTTTACTCCACCCACCTATGTTCTAACCTATCAGGGCCAAGCAGTTTCTTTATTTTTTAACCAATGACCTTCTTCCATCAATAACTAACACATAATCTTCTGCTCCACGGTTCTGCTATAGAAATTCAGAGGCTGCTGTGCTCAGTAGAAATAAACAAAGATGTGTAAGGAAGGGGTCCCTACATGATACACAGAACATCATTTGTAGCTTATTTGCTTTTATTTTTAATTAACATGTAATTTTGTGTGTCTATGGGGTTCATTGTGACATTTCAGTAAAGATATATATTATAGAATGATCAATTCAGGATAATTATCGTCTTCATTTCCTTTAGCTCTTGTCATTTTTTTTGTCTGTGGAATGGTCAAAACTCCTCTCTTCTAGTATGTATTGCTGGCATGGGGTAAGCATGGCTGCCTTCCAAAGATCTTCTCTTGTAATTATTTGGAACTGTGTGGTCCCTTCTTGCTATATACAGTCACATCAGAGCCATCTGGCTGTAACTTTGTGTGCACTGTGAAGTCTCTCGGCAGCCTCTTCTCTCCCAGTCACCTGCAGTAGCCACTGAGCTACTCTCAACTTTTATGGCCTCACTTTTCCATATTCCATGTGTTAGTAAGATCGTGTGTTATTGTCTCTCTGTGTCTGGCTCATGTCTTTAACACAAAGTTGTCCAAGTCCATCCATGTTGCTACAAATGACAGGAGTTCGTCCATTGTGGCTGGATAGTGTTCAGTTGTGCGTATAACGCTTGTTTCATTGGGTGATGTCATTCCATGTCTTAACTATTGTTAACTAGTGCTCCAACCCTAGCACTAGTTATTTTAAGCCCCCAAATAATCCTTTTCTTCTAGAAGTTGCCTTGATCATGGTGTCTTATCATAGCAATAGAATAGTAATTAAGACAGACTCCCTGATGTAACATGAAGGGGCCTGCTTGTTGGGGTTAATGTCCTACCTAGTTCCCACAGTCGGCAAGGTCCCAAAGAAAAGACACAGAAGTCTACATTAATGATAAACTGATTGTCCCATTAGCTCAGGCTACTTATTAGCTCTTGTAGCTTATATTAACCCATTATTCTTACCTATGTTAGCCACATGGCTCTGTACCTTTCTCAGCGGGGCAGCTCACATCTTGCTTCTTCCGTGGTCTGGGCAGAACTGGCAAGGGAGCTTCTTGCTTCCCAGAATACTCCTGTTCTCATTGCCTCACCTCTACTTCCTGCCTGGCCAATCAGCGTTTATTTAAAACATGATTGACAGAATACAAACAATTCTCCCGCACCACTCTGAGACTAAAGTTACAGATGTTTTTGAGTTGTCATATGGGTGCTGGGACTTGAACCCAGACCCTCCAAAGAACATTCAGTGTTCTTAACCTCAGAGTTTTCTTTCCATTCCAAGTTCTAGTTTTCATTGTTTGAAAAACCTCCATACTGCTTCTGTGTTGAGTGTACTAATATACATTCCCACTATCAGGATGCAGGGCCTTCCTTTCCTCCACAGTCTTGCTATGTTTTATGTTCGGCTCGTTTACTAATAGCCATTTTTACTGGAGTGGGTGGTATATTATACAGAAGAGTGAACTAGATCCATATGTTTCACCATATACCAAAACCAACTCAAAGCAGATTAGAACTTGGTGGGGTGATGCACACCTTTAATCCCAGCACTTGGGAGATGCGTGGATCTCTATGTGTTCAAGGCCAGCCTGGTCTGCAAATCGAGTTCCAGGCCAGACAAGGCTACACAATAAGACTTTGTCTCACAAAACCAAACCTAACAAACAGCAACAACAGATTAAAGAATGGAAAAGGAGGCCGGCCCTAACTATGGAACTAATAGAAGAAAGAAAAAGAGAAAAGATTCATGACCTTCGTCTGGGCAAAGAATTCTTTAATAAAACTTCAAAAGCATGGGAAACAAAATCAAGAATTGACAAGTGAGATTATACCATATTAAAAAGCATGGAGACTTCTCAAAAACCAGAAATAGAACCGCCATGTGACCCAGCAGTGCCGCTCCCTGGTATACACTCAAAGGACTCTGTGTCCTACCACAGAAATGTTGGCCTGTATGTCTATTGCTGCTCTGTTCACAAATAGGGAGAAAATAGAATCATCCAAGATGAAGTGAATGCATGAATGGATAAGCAAAACATGGTGTGTCTGCACAGTGAAATTTCATTTGGCCATAATGGAAAATGAAATTATGAAATTTGCACGTAAATTAGTGGAACTGGAAAATATTGTATTAAACAAGTAATCCAGGCTCAGAAACAAATGTGTTTTCTATCATATGCAAATCTTAGCTTCTGGTTGTTGTATATGTCTATGCTATGTATATACATACATATATTTATTTATATGGGAATAAGTGTGGGTAGAGACCAGGAAGCTAGAAAGGAGTTCATGAGGTGGGTGTTGCTTTAAGGAGAGGTAGGGAGGGTAATAGCCCTAGTGTGACGTGAAAGATGAAGGGAAAATACCAATGTTGGGACAGTACAGTGCGGATGGGCCAGGGAGGTGGGGGAGAGGAGGAAGAACCACCCCATATTAAACATGCATGAAGTTTTTAATTTAAAACGTTTGGTTTTCTGTCCTGTAAAGCAACTGAAACAGCAGAACAAAGAGCCAACCTACAGAATAAGAAAACATATTTGCAATCTATGCATCTGATAAGGGTTAATATCCAAAACAAATAAGACACTCAAATCAATATTGATAACAAATAATAAGTTTATTAAAAATGAGCAAGATAGTTATGGATAAGGAAGGGTCTCATGGAACCTTGTTCCCACCCACCTTCCATCCCTTGGAGCTATTGGTGGCTGATTACTGTTGGGAGGGGGTCATTGTCTTCAGTGGTGTACCCACGAGTGAATTACCCTGCTCCAGTCAATAACGACACACTCATTGCTCATGAAGGCATCCTGGTTAAACTCAATGAGTCATTAAACAAAAGACAAAGTAGGAGTGGGACTTGGGAGGAGTGAGACTTAGGAGGAGTGGGCTTGACTTGGGAGGAGTGAGACTTGGGAGGAGTGGGGATTGACTTGGGAGGAGTGAGACTTGGGAGGAGTGGGAATTGACTGGGGAGGAGTGAAGCTATTTGGAAGATGGATTAGAGAAGGTGAAAGACAAGTATGATCAGAAAGCTTTACATACACGTATAAAATTGGCATGGAACAGTTTTTTAAGTGAGCAAGAAACCTGAATTAACAAGTCACAAAAGTAGACACAAATGGCTACCACGTGTATGAAGAAATGCTCCTCATCACTATTAGGTAAATGCAAATTAAAATCATTTCTATTGTAAAGTGGAAGACTAGTGCTAACTGAACTTTGATTACTCAGCAGTATGAAGGCTGGAAAGAGGGCAGGGAGATGTCGTGGGTGTGTGCTGAAGGAAGGAGGAGCTGGTGGACAGCCCAACTTAAAAACACGCACAGGAGGGATAACTGCCCAGACACCCTTGAAAGCTGGTCCTGACACTCCAGTTCCTTACAGGCCTCGAACACAGCCCTTGGGATACTCCATTAAGGTAAGTATATGTCGAAATTCTCTCTCTTTCTCTCTCTCTCCCTCTCTCTCTCTTTCACTCTCTTCAAAATTCCACATTTCCATATGCTTGAGACAAGCAGCCTATTCCATGGGCAAAAGACAGCTACAAACCATAATACAGACCAGTAAACAAGAAAACTTTCCAATGGGTAATCACAGCAATATTCATACCATGGTGGTTTGAATGTGAATGGCCCCTATAAGCTCATATGCTTCTTTGTTCTCAGTTGGTACAACTGTTTGGGAAGGACTAGGAGGTATGGCCTTGCTGGAGGAGATGTGGCACCGGGGGTGGACTTTGAGGTTCCAAATTCTCATGCCAGTCCAGTTGGTTCTCTCTCCGCCTCATGCTGGTGGCTCAGATCTAAGCGACTGGCCCCGTGTCATGCCTGCCTTCCTGCCACCGTGCTGCCAAGATGGGCATGGACTCACCCTCTGAAACCACTAGCTCCAAATTAAACTCTTTCTTTTATAAGTGGCCTTGATGCTGGGTTTTGATCCTACTGCACGTACTGGCTTATGGGAGCCTAGTCTGTTTGGATGCTCACCTTCCTAGACCTGGATGGAGGGGGGAGGACCTTGAACTTCCCACAGGGCAGGGAACCCTGATTGCTCTTTGGACTGGAGGGGGGGATTGGAGGAGGGGGAGGAGGGGGAAATTTTTAATAATAATAATAATAATAAAGAAAAAATAAGTGGCCTTGATTATGGTATTTTGCCATGGCAACAGAAAAGTAGCTAAGACACATATGAAATGTTCAGAAAAGACTAATGACAAAATTATATTTAAACTACAGAAAGTAAGTCAAAGCTACCTGAGGCGGACGTGGGATTGGAGGTTAGTTCAGAGAGGTGTGAATGAATCTTACTGAAGCGGTGCAAATGTTCTCAGACTATTGAGGTGTGGTGACTCAACTACTTGGAAAAGTTGCTGTAAAAAATGACTTTAGTGTTTATATTTATGACGCATAAAACTGGTGGTGGAGAGGTTGCGGTCCCTTCAAACTCAGCCTTCAGATCTTCACTGTCTGAAATGTGTCCTTCCCTAAAGTTTACCTGAGAAAGTGCCTCTGCTCAAAGTGCTGCAAACTCACTTTCCAGGGACCCTTTCATTAGCCAGTTCAAAGAGGGAGGGAGCCGCCTCCACTCCTTATTGTGCTGTGAGGTGATGATTCAGAGTGAAGACTGCCTCTTGTCAATCCAAAACCTACTGGGACATGGCTACTTTAATGATTGTCACCTTAGGGTTTCTTACCTTTTTCCCTTATACTTGATCTGGTTAGGAGCAGCGCCTGGTATTGGAAGCACAGTCTTGGAAGCTGAGATAATGTAGCTGGAATCTTACCAGAATAAGCGATCCAACACCAATGAGAGTGGGAAAGAGATGTATTCACCAGGGGACCAAAGTCAGGACAGCTCCTGACAGGTCTGGGTCCAATTTGTGTTCTCGTTTTATATTCTAAAACCACAAAGTGGGATGAGCAAGCCAGCAAGTGTTGGGAGCAGTGAGACCCCAGATCCTCAATTTCTTGTAATCCCCTGATCTGAGTGCCTACAGCTGCTCTGAGCAGGAGACCTTCAGGAGTTCCTGATGGCAGGAGAGTGGTTTCTGGTGGGTTTGGCTGAGGCGTGGCTATCTCTATATAATCTGCCCCTGAACACAATAAAGGGGGCATTCTTGGGGAATTCAAGGATGACCCATGTCACTGTCTCTCTGTGTGTGTCTGTGTATTTTAACCTCCAGCCCCCTTGCCCGAAGCTTGCGAACTGGGTGCCAGCGCACAGAGCGCAGACACAGGGGCCCGGTGCATGGCAAGCAAGATTGGTCAGGTTGTTAAGGGCAATGACCCACAGTTTCAGATACTTCTGCGGGTCATTCTGTTCCAGGTATCCAGAGAGGTCATGCTTAGCACGAGGCCGCCCAAGCAGTGCTTTAAGAGAATTGCTAAATGAATCAATAAATCAGTATCTAAGAATTGTTTTTTTTCTACGTTGGTCTACTTCACTACTTCTGAATTCTGATGTTGTGAAATGGGCAGTTGGATGTGTTGAAATGGGCTTGCTGCTGCTTCACCCTTCCCAGGGCTTATCTGCGAGGTGTGTAAGGCCACTGTTAAGCCAAACTGATCTAGCCACACTGTCACATTTTTAAAGGCATTATAATATAATAAAAAATCATGAAAATTCCACTTGATGTGAAACTTTTCTTTGTGGTTTTGTTTGTTTTCTGTTTGTTTTTGTTTTGCCTGCAAGGGTGTTTTTGAGACTCACATACCTGGCAAAGTAATTGTTGCTGCTTTTACGGTGCTCAGAGTGGGACACAACACCTTGAACGTGCTGGCAAGCACCAGAGCACTGAGCTCCACCCCAGCCCTCTACAGCCAATCTGATCAAGTTGTGCCATGAGATACACAGCACCTGATTTTTTTTTTTAAGAAATAGTCAGGATGCTTTTTAATGGTTGAACATAAAATCACCTATAAAGCCAGTAGCTACATCCCCACACAGAGAAATAAAAGCATTGTCTGGACCCCAGTTTGTAAATCATGCTCATTGCAACGGTCTTCATAGCTTGCGCCTGAATTGAAGAGAGTATTGGCACTGCCCAACTTCATATTCTCTTAACCATTTAATCTCCAGCTCTCTCTCTCTCTCTCTCTCTCTCTCTCTCTCTCTCTCTCTCTCTCTCTCTCTCTCTCTCTCTCTCTCTCCCCACACATACCCTTTCTTCAGTCCCCAAACCTTTGATGCTCACTCTCAGCTCATAGTCCCACCTCTCATTTCCCTGAGAAAATTAGGCAGTGTGCTTCTGACCACATGCCTCCCGTCTTCCCTCGCGCTTGCTTACCTGCGTTCTCTCTTCAGAGTGAATTACAGATGCTCTTAAGCTAACTGCCACCTTCCGCAGTATTCTGTCTCCATCTCCGACGGCGGACACTCCTCACCGAAGTCTACTCTCTGTCTGAACTGACTGTCTCACTCTCTGTCCTGGATCATGGCGCTCGTCCTGAGCAGCTCACAGCGCTGTTGTGTCCCCCCCCCCCATCCCACTTTAATTACCTGTCCATCTAGCAATCACTCCATTTCCCTCTCAGTTTCTTTGGATAAAATAACAATAAATAACCTCTTTGAAAGGCTTGGCTGTATTTGTTCATCTATCTTCCTGATGTTATCTCTGACCCCACTCTGCTTGGGTTCTGCACCCTCACCCTTGCACCGAAACCTGTTTTATGATCGTCACTAATAGCGTCCTCAGTGCACAAGCTGACAGTCAATCCTGAGCCCTTAGGTCACTGCAGTTCCCAGCAGCCAGTTCTCCTCCTTGGAATTCTCTGTTTGACTTTTCCCCTTCTCTTTCAGTTTTATTACGATGTGTGATAAATGTTGTATAACCTTGATTTTTGCATTATAGAATGTGTGCATGTATTGATCATCACATAGCATGCCATAAATACATAAGTATATACGATATTTTAGTATTAACAGATATTTTCAAAAACCAAAATTATTGCATATATTGCAGTGTACCACATGCTTTTTATTTTGATTGTAGGCATTGTATATGGCACCATTACATAAAGACATTTCATACAAGTAAAGTTTGTACATTGGGCTTATCCCTTTCATCCATTTTGTTTTGAAGACACAAAGTACCTAGTTTTCTTCCTACTTTTCAACGGAGAGAGAGATTGTTTGAATAACAATGGTCCTCAGAGACTCCTATATTTGAATGTTTGTTTCCCAGCTGATGGACTGTTTAAGAAGGATTAGGAGGTGTGTCACTGGTGAGGGCAGGGAGCTTTGAGTTTTCAAAAGCCTATGCCATTCCCTGTTAGCTCTCCCTGCTTATGAATCAGATATAGTTCTTAGTTACCGTTCCAATGACATGTCTGCTTGTTCTCTGCCATGCTACTCACCGTGATGGTCAGGGACTCATCCTCTAAAAATGTAAACAAGCCCCTATAAGATGCTTTCTTTTATAAGTTGTCTTGGTCATGCTGCCTTTTCATAGCAATAGAACAGTAACCAAGACAGACAGACAGAGAACATTGCTATGACTCAGCTTTAATCCTTGTCCTTTGAGTGTACTCACCGCCAGGTAGACCGTGCCAGTCTGCGTGATAACTCCCAAATATCTGCTGGCAGCCTGGCCCTCTCGCCAATGCCAACTGCAAACTTGGGCACCCAGCTGCCCGCTCTACACCTGCATGGGTATGACTTGATGCTTCACATTCAGCGTGAGAAAATGTGCTTCCCTGATGGGCTGACGATCGTCCTAAGCACACCTGCTGCAGGACTTCCCTTTACCTAGTCATGATCACTGACACTTCTTTTTTATTGTTTTTTATTGAGCTATGGTTTTTTTTTCCCATTCCCCTTCCTTCTTCCCCTTTCCCTTCCCAATTTACTCAGGAGATCTTGTCTTTTCGATCAATGACATTTCTGATCATGGTCACTATAAGGCATAAGAAGACCAAAAAACAGCCAAGCATCTCCCCTGAATTGCATGCATGCTCCCCGCTCCCGAGTACAATCTGAGAGTTAGGCATCAATGCAACGGGGGCAGATGATGCCGGAGTCCAGGTACCTGACATGTGACTCATGTCGCTTGCTCGGGATCTCCTTACCTGGCACTGCTGGATCACTTCCTTCAATAAAGAGCGGCTGCCACACCTTGCCGTCTTTACGACTGGAAACCAAACCAAACTGAGCAGCTTCATTATGCAATCCTTTGAAGCAGTCCCTATAAAACAAAAATATGATCACATCAATATCTGACACATTCAATTCTCTTATTAAATTTCAGTGGCTCCCACATGGCCTCTGGATGAAGTCAAACTCCTTGTGGCTGTTGACATTCTACAGCAGTGGTTCTCACAATCCCTTCGGGGGTCCCATATCAGATATCCTGCATATTTTGTGTCTATATTACTATTCATAACTGTAGCAGAATTAAAGTTATGAATTATGAATTCTTACAGTTATGAAGGAGCAATGGAATAATTTTATGGTCGGGGGTCACCACAACATGAGGAACTGTAGTAAAGTGCCGCAGTGTTAGGAAGGCTGAGAATCAGAGATCTTGCGTGGACCTCATCTCAAGTCACTCCCTAGCACCTACTTCCTGTTCCAGGCTCTGTGGTGATCTTCTGCCGTTCTTGCCTCTCCTCATACTGTCTTCCTTGCCTGGAATCCAGTCCATATTCCCAAACTCCTTTCTGTAGTCATCTTTTAAGAACCAGCCAGAAAAACTGAATCAATTCATGTGTACTACGGTGTTTATGTAACATGGAATATATCAATATTATTTTATCAGAGAAAGTCTGTGGAGTGTTGATGAGGGAAAGGTAAAATATTTAAAATGGCGGTGGTTAGCTTTGTGGCGTGGCTTATTTTCACTTTCTTCTCTAAGGGATGATTTTTTTTTTCAAAGTAAAAATCATAACTCTCACACAAACATAAAATGAATAAGTGCCAAAATGTTTACTAGTGTGTTCATTACTGAGGGGAGCCCCTAAGACATACAGTTTATCCTAAAGTGAATTCAGAAAGTCTCGGCTATGTAAAACAAACGCTAAGTAAAGTAAATTTGCTTATTAGACACAAGGTTGATCTTCCACTCTGGATAAGGCGAATGAGTTGGCAGTCTTCAGGTGACATTTCTCAGCACCCTGGACAGACATCATCGACATTGTTATCAGTTACCTGAAGCTCACTAACTTGTAACAGGTTTCAAGACAAAGAGACCCCCACCGATTTTGTCGCCCAGAAGACAGCACTAGACAAAGTGCAGTTGTTATCATCACTGTCATCGCCGTCCCCCACCCCCACCGCTGGTGACACCCAACCCATTTCAAAGCCAGGTACATTTTGTCTTTTACAAATTTTCCCTAAACTTTCTTATAAAATTTTCCATTTTTAAAAAAAATTTACAAAATGCATATATCCTTTTATTAGCATTAGTCCTTGCTCTAAAACCCACAACATTAGAAGTACTCTTTCCTAAATGAGTTCAGGCATCTACACCTCCTTCTAGGGGTTTTGCCTAACCACCGTGACCCCAGACTAAGTATCTTCCTTCCCTGTGCACCCCCAAACCTGTGTGGAGAACATTCTGCTTCTACCACATTTGCCAAATTTTTATTTATTCTTCTGCAGTCCCAGCTCAGACTGAGTGTTTCTCAATACTAAAATCATGAGAGTCATCTTTGTTACCCCGTGCAGAGCAGGACACACACACACAAATTTGTCATTGAATGAATTTAAAGAAAACAGCATGTCTGGATTCTGTATCTTTTTCGGGGGCTGGAGAGGGATTAGAGAAAAATAGCAGAAAGTGACAAACGAACGGGCGGGGGGGGGGGGAACAGGATGGGTAGAGGGGAACTGGGCTGTGGCGGGGGAGTATAGAGACCAAGTCAGAGTTAGTTTTTGTTTCCCCTGGGCAGCTTAGGAGTACAAAGAATAATTATGGCCTTAGACAAATGAAGCCCCTTAAATTTGGGACTAAATTGCCTTCAGTGACATTCACGAAACGTGATATAGGAAGAGAAAGCACGCACGCACGCGCGCTCGCTTGCTCTTTTGAATCTTCAGCGACGGGGGAAGTAAAGCCCCACAATAAATGAGAAGTGCCTGAGCTAAATCCTAAGACCATGGATCCGATTTGTCTTTAGGTTTCTTCAGCAGCACTTGTCTGCTTTGATATTTACCCAAGATTTACTAAAGTCGAAGTGCTTTAATGGGAGCCCTGCTTTCTTAGCTGCACTCATAGCTATAGATTTGGGGAGGTTTGAACAGAAGGTCAGATACTCAAATATAAGGAAAACACAAGTTACTTTGTACACAATGCCTGGTTCACCCAACACCTGAGCACTGGCAAGGCCAGAATGACTACTTTAGGATAAATATTTTGAAGCTAGAGCTGAGTTGACAGAGCTAACAGTTTGGGGAGAACGGCCCAACCTTCTAACCCTAAGAAATTTGACCTACGGATCCAGTAGGGCCCTAAGGAAACCTTGGTCACTGAAGCCAAACCCTCATTCTTCCATTCATTCATTCAGCCCAGCAGATACCAGCCAGCAAGGGCCAGAGCCCAGCACCTGCTAGAGCCGAGCACCCAGCACCGTCGCTCAGGCTCAGCAAGCCGAACGTTACAAGAAGAGCAAGAACAAGAGCCGCACAATCCTTTGGCAGAGACAATATTGGCTCTGAGGCTCAGAAAACACCCCGCCCCCTTCACACACACACACACACACACACACACACACACACACACACACACACACACCGGCACCAGGATAAAACTGAAGAACAGTCTAGAAGACTTGGAAAATGTAGTTTCAGTGAAACAAGATGTGTAGTGTGTCCTAAGGCTTGAGATAAGATCAAAGTCATAAAACATGTGACCCTTAAGCAGTCATTGGGTCGCGGCAAAGCCTGCTCATGTGTGGATCTTATGTCTTTGGTCCTTTCACAGCAAACCTGTGAATTATCTGCTCATCATCCTAAGGAGACTCAGTGAATGGATGCTTGTTGAATCTCTATACGTAAATGTGAGCACTTGATTCCAGGTAGCCAAAAACATTACAGTTTAAAAGGTTGGACATGGGAAATCTTAAGCTAATAAACACCGGACTAGATAGAGCCATAGCCTCTTGAGTTGACCCAGGCAGGTCCAGCCCAAACCCATGACAACTATATGAATGCAACCCAACACATTTATAAGTCTTCTTTTGGATTTGATCCAGGCATATCCCCAGAGACGTTAAACAAAGAATGGTGTTCCATTGCAACAAAAACTTCCCTTCCCTCCCTGATCCTGGTCCTTCATGCCTCCTCCTCACCACTGGCCCTAGAGCACTGAGGGAGTGTGGAACAGTGAATGTTATGTTAAAGTATTAGGTGCTCCTGCTAGACTGAACTTCTGCTAGAGAGTTCTAGACCATGCCAGGCTCAGCCCAACACAGAGCATCAAAATAAACCCCTCCTTATAAGATCTGGTACTGTAACTATGTTTGTTTTTCTTTTCTAGAGATCACCCTCTCTGATCCAAGCTTGCCAAAAAGAAGAGCAAACAGAAACCCAATGTTTAGGCCTCTGATCCAGGGCTGGAAGAGACTCCCAGCCCTTGTGCCTGCACTCTCTGTGAGAAGCACCAGTAATGGATCAAACTGCAGACTTGCACTGGCCAACAAAGTCGCTGTGGTTACAGGGTCCACAAATGGGTGAGAGCAACCCGTTGGGAACTCGGAAGCTGTGGGTATCTCTGGATTTGGCTGACCTCCTTGTCCTAACCTTGGCCCCACAAAGCAAGGCCTTAAGGCTTAAGAGTCTTGAGAATACGATTCTACTTAGAAACTCCAAGGGACTGGAGATAAAGCCAGCGCCAGATGTGTTACCAGCATGGCCCAATACAAGACACTTCATGGTGGATGGGCCCAAAATTCAGTAGAACTCATGAATGTATCGTGGAGTAACGCATCAAAGGAAGGTAGAAGGGATTCAACCATTGCTCCAAACTTCTGTTAGTCAAAGGTAGTGCTGTGTAGGTTGATAGCGACACCCTTCCATGCCGAGTGCCTATGAGCACTCAGCGGCATTCAGAGACCTGGGTCAAAGAGCTCTACAGTAGCAACTGGCTTGGGGACCTGGGCGTGGACAGTCAGTTGTGGAGATGAGGCCAAAATCTGATGAGGAACACAGATTCAATTCAGCCTTCTTAATCATGCAGACGTAGGGCATGAAGCTAGCTGCTCTGGAGCAATAGAGAAAACTAGTTTGATGCCTCGGGGTGAAAAAAAAAAAGCATAGCAAGAAAGAAAGGGGTCAATCCACGTCTGAACTGTCACAACATCCTCTCCATCCTTCTCCACAGGATTGGTTTCTCCATTGCTCGGCGTCTGGCCCAGGATGGGGCCCACGTGGTCATCAGCAGCCGGAAGCAGCAGAATGTGGACCGTGCAGTGGCCACATTGAAGGAGGAGGGGTTGAGTGTGACGGGCACTGTGTGCCATGTGGGGAAGGCAGAAGACCGGGAGCAGCTGGTGGCCACGGTGAGGGTACAGGGGTCCAGCTTCTGTGATCCACACGAGGGCAGCCGGTTAAAGACTCCATTGCAGGACCTGACTCACCACCATGTCACTCAGTTCTGCTTGACAGTCCCATAATCTCCCCTGAACAGACCTGAGCAGGGAAAACACACGTTCAGGGCAGGAGGGAGATGATGAAGTGGGAAGCCCTTTGGGAGGGAAGGAAGCTGCATCCACCCGACCCTCCTGGAAGACCAGACCCTTAGGGAGGATCCAAGCAGGGACAGAGATATTATAGAAAAACAAGTCCTGGTTCTTAGCCAGATCTAGAGCACTCAGGAAAATGGAGAGCTGGCCAGTGTATTCCAGGAAAGATGTGTTAAGGAACTGGCAGGTTGGGGTACCTGGGGTGGCAGCACAGAAGCCATCTGAGCTGAAACCCCAGCTCTGTTCAGAAGTTTGCTGTTGGCTCCTGAAGAGAGAACCAGCCATTCTCCAGCCTTGCTTAGGGTTGTTCCTCTCCAGGACTGGATCCAAGCGTATTACCAGACCAACAAGAATGGTGTCCCACTGCAACCAAACTTCCCTTCCCCCCATGTCTCCTCCTTTCCTGCAGGCCCTGGAAAGCTGTGGGGGTGTGGACTTCCTGGTGTGTGTCGCAGGGACTAATCCCTTGGTGGGGAGTACCTTAAGGAGCAGTGAGCAGATCTGGGACAAGGTGAGACCTGGGGAAGCTAACAAGAGCTGGTAGAGCTCCATCCTCAGCACCTGGATAACCCTCTCCCCGTGTAAGTTTGCATACCTAGCAGTAGTCCTTAGCTCCCACACATCCGTGCTGTCCTAAGCTCACGCACACAGAGCAAGGCCAGGGGTTCAGACTCCCTGAGCCTCAATTTCCCCATCTGTAAGATGGAGCAAAGAATGTCTAAGTTGAAATTCTGATCATCTAGAGAAGTGAATGTCTTTCTCCCTTGCCCAGAAATGTTTCTTCTACAGCACTGGCCCTTAGAGGCTGTAATCCTGAAATTCAACCATTCCTGGTTTTCCCTGGTGGGGTCTGCTGTGACCCAGGTGAAGCAAGTACCTTTGGAGCTAAGAAAAGATATCCCAGACTTCATGATCTCAGTCCCCAGAGACATCAACCTGATCCCTTTAGTACTGAACCTCAAGATGTCGCCTTAGCCCCATAAAGGCCTCAATAAATTTCCTTGGCAGAAGCATTGTGTACATATTCCACAGTGCATGTTTCCTGCTATGAAAGAACACGAAACTGATTCTATCTCTTATTTGCTCTGATTTCAGATCCTGGGTGTGAATGTGAAGGCCCCAGCCCTGCTGCTGAGCCAGCTGCTGCCCCATATGGAAAACAGGGGGTGAGGATCGGGAAGTGGGAAAGGGAGGAGTTATCCGGTATGGAACGGGGAGCAGGGAAGCAAGAGTGTGCCAATAACACAAGCACAATAAAAGTTTGCCTTTCAGACTTCGGGGTCACTAACAGAAATCAAATAACCCTATCCATTATTGTGCCTAGAGAACGCAGTGGTCCAGGAATTTGTCGATGAATCTTTTGAAAGGAGAATAGGAGTGGGGGTGGAGAGGTATGGGGGATGTGAAGGGGTACAGAAATAGGAAGGCAGGAGTTCCCACAACTGTCCCGGAATCCAGAAATGAAAGTGACCTCTTTCGGCACGCAGGAGCGCAGGTCACAGGGACTGGTGGACCTGAGGTGCCGCGGGGCATCTCTAGCCTACTTCTCCGCCTTCTGTCTCGGGCCGGGATAGAGACAGGCCTGATCAGCTCGGTGTAGTCTCACCTGTGAGGGAGACTGGGCACCAACGGGGTTTCCCACTGATCTCAGTGGCTTGAGATGTTTTCTGAAATGTGTTTTCCAGGAGTTGAGCGGTTTTTTTTTTAGGGGGGGCAGGATCCCTGTCACTGTTTTCCCAGGAACTCTTTCTTGTTCGCTGCACCACAGACCCACCCCGTCTTTGTCTGTTTTCCTTAAACTTAGCAGGTCTCTTCTCTTGTAGCCGCTCCTGCTCTGAAGACGCTCGTCGGCAGTCTTCCGTGCCAACATGGCTCTCACTCTGTAACTCAGAGCGGTGAGCAGAGGTTGCTTCTGGGCCAAGTGCTTTACACATACTGCCATAAGACTCTGCTTCCAGGGCTGGGCATGTAACTTGGCACACGTGGAGTGCGTTCTCAGCATGCATAGGGTTCCCAGGGAGAAAAGCAAGCCAATCTCTCTTCCAGCTGCACTGCTTCCCTGTCTGGTCCTGTGTTGGCGTTCTGAGTCCAGCAAGCACAGGCCAAACACTTGGTACAGGCAGGGTGTTGCTTTTCTAGACATAGCTGTTGCCTGTGAAATACAGCCAGAATTTCTTACTATGACGATGAAGCCCCCTTCCAGTTCCAACACAGGCATGCTGTAGGATTCGACTGAACCATATTTTCAAAAGTGCCACATTTGCAGGATAAAAATGGCCAAACGTCTTTGCCCATATTCTCATTCCTCCCACTCTTCCACTGGACTTTGGGAGCTCAGTCCAGTGCTCCCATGAGGGTCTCTGCCTCTGTTTTCATCAGTTGCTGGATGAAGGTTCTATGGTGATATTTAAGATATTCATCAGTCAGAGCCGGGCAACGGTGGCACACACCTTTAATCCCAACACTTGGGAGGCAGGGGATCTCTGTGAGTTTGAGGCCAGACTGATCTACAAGAGCTAGTTCCAGGACAGGTTCCAAAGCTACAGAGAAACCCTGTCTCAAAAAAAAAAAAAAAAGAAAGAAAGAAAGAAAGAAAGAAAAGAAAAGAAAAGAAAAGAAAAGAAAAAGAAAAAGAAAAAAAGATATTCATCAGTCTGACTACAGGGCAAGTCAGGATCTGGCCCCCTCTCCTCTGTTGCTTAGGGTCTTAGCTGGGGTCATCCTTGTGGATTCCTGGGAATTTCTCTAGAGCCAGGTTTCTGCTAACCCTATAATGGCTCCCTCTGATGTAGATGGGCCTTCTTTCTATCTGTTGCTTTCATTGGTTAATTAATAAAGAAAACTGCTTGGCCTGATAGGTCAGCACATAGGTAGGCAGGGAAGACAGAACAGAATGCTGGGATGAAGAAGGCAGTGAGTCAGACGCCATGATTCTTTGAAAGGAGACAGATGTAGGCTAGAATCTTTCCCAGTAAGCCACCACCTTATGGTGCTACACACATTATTAGAAATAGGTTAATCAAGATGTGAGAATTAGCCAATAAGAGGCTAGAGCTAATGGGCCAGGCAGTATTTCAATGAATACAATTTGTATGTTGTTATTTCCGAGGCTAAGCTAGCCATGCAGGAGCAAGCAGGACAAAAAGCAGGCCTGCTCACCTCCTCATTACATCCCTCAATCAAAATATCTCTTTCCTTGCTCTCATCTCTATCCTTATTCCATCTCAGCTATCCCATTCCCTCAAATTTTCCTTGCCCCCTCCCCTTCTGTTCCCCTCTTCCCTTCCTACCCTCCCTTCTCCCCCCATCCGCATGCCTCCAATGTTGTCAGGCAATCTTGTCTATTTAGATCTATATATGTTTTTCTTAGGGTTCACCTTGTTACTTAGCTTCTCTAGGATCATGAACTATAGGCTCAATATCCTTTGTTTATAGCAAGTATCCACTTATGAGTGAGTACATACCATATTCATCTTTTTAGGTCTGGGTTACCTCACCCACCTAGCATAGTGTTTTCTAGTTCCATCCATTTGCATGCAAAATTCAAGATGTTATTGTTTTTTTACCGCTGATGGGTGCACCCACTGAAATAGTCTACTTGAGTTAATGGGAACTCACCAACTCTGGCCGGAATGGGAAGGAAAAAGCATAGGACCAAACTAGTCCCTCTAAATGTGGTTGACAGTCTCAAGGCTGGGGCAGACTGAGGGGCCACTGGCAGTGGCACCAGGATTTATCCCTACTGCATGTACTGGCTTTTGGGGATTCTATTCTCTTTAGATGTATGCCTTGCTCAACCTAGATATAGTAGGGAGGGCCTTGGACCTTCCCCAAAGCAATGTGTCTTACCCTCTCTGAGGGTTGAAGTGGGGTGGGGTGGGAGGGTGTGTGGAGGGAATGGGAGGAAAGGAAGGAGTGGGAACTTGGATTGGTATGTATAATGAAAAAAGATAGTTTGTTTTCTTTTTAAAAGAAAATAATAAATTCTTTAAAGAGAGAGGAAAAATGACCAAACGGTAGCTCATAGGATACAGTTCAATCCGATGGCTTTGGATTTTTCTTTTAGCAGGACGGTCCTGTCCATCAGAGGGTGCCCTCTGTGTGAGTCCGACACAAATAGACAAAAACAGCCAATGCTGGGGCTGATATGTGGATTATTCTGTTTCCCGGTAGCTGACCTGGGCGCCTCTGCAGAACCCAGCTGCACAGAACTAGCTAGAAAGAACTAATGAGAGGACTGCACGGGCTTTGAAGTCCGAGGCCTTTAGATGGGGGCTCATCACTGCTGTGCATCCCTGCCATTCACGGTCTTCAGGTCGAGCTCAGGTGGTTAACGGATTCCTGAACATAACCGACATAATAAATGCCAGCTCCCAAATGAAGTAAAAAAAATCTACCTATGTATTTACTATAATAAGTAATAAGTATTATTTGAAAGTAAAATGACCTGCAGCTTAGTTTATCATATAAGTAGTAGAGATATAATTTCATAATTAAATTCAGCTTACCATTTACAAAAATATTAATTTATTACTATTATTCTGGGATCTAAGCAAGCCAAATTGCTTCAATTGTTTTTGAAGAAGGCAGAATTTCATGAAATGAACTCCATTTAAAATATTTCCATCCAGTCTTGCCTACTTGCTAAAAGTCCTAATTATCCTTCTTCAAGACCCAATTTAAATGGAGCTTCCCGTATGCTGGAGAAAGCAGCACTCTCAGCGTGTAATTCTATACTCAACAAATGCATCTCTCAGAAGCCCAGGGTAGGGTTCCAGCGTTCCGGGGCAGACAGGCGTCAGTCACTGAAGGACATTCTAAGCCACTTGCTTCCTGCAGGAGGAATTAGACAGCCGCTCTGTAAAACCTATAAAACCTGAGACAAAAATTGGAGTGAAAGGCGGAGAAAATAGTAACAGGAGCAAACCAAACCATCTATTCCGCAAAAACAAAACTGTCTTGGAGGTTTCAGAGAAATAAAAAGATACAAAAGTAATTTTCACATCAGAAAGATAGAAGTTGAGTTACACTGTTAAGAGATTCCTATGTTGTTTAGACAGAGCAAGGACATTATATTTTAATTAGTTAGACAGCTCCATTTTCCTTTCTGCACAGACAGCTCCAACAATGGCCACAGAGGACAAGATACATTTTTAAACTAATAGGACAGGGAGGTAGAGACAAAACAAACACAATCCGAAAGAAAACAAAAACAGACAGACAAAAGGGAACTGGGGTGGGACTTAAAAATCACAGAATTGAAGGTTAGATGGTAAGGGATTCTTAGTTCATTGGTAAAACTGTTAAAATATAATAATCACCAAGCTGGGGCCAGGGAGGTAAATAAAGTGCTTGCCTCACAAGCATGGGGACCTGCGCTTGCTCCACAGAACCCACATAAGGAAGCCATGTGCTTCACCACTGAAGGCCCTAACCACCCAGCCTAGCCACGGAGGCAAGAGAGTTCAGTGAAACATCCCTCCTCAAAGAAAGCGCATGACACCTGAGAATGACACCCAAGCATGTCCTAGGATGTCCAGACACACTTGCATTCACACACTCATGTTCACACACACACACACACACACACACACACACATTCAAGGGAGGAGGCTGGAGGAGGAGCAAGAGAGACTGGGAGCAATATAATACATAAATAAATAAAACCAAAAATGTATTTTTCAAAAAATGGTGCTTTTGACAGATTGCTCGTGAAACTGATGAGGGAAAGAACAAATAATATCAGGGATAAAGACAAAAGCATCACTAGAGAGGCAAAAGGCAATAAAATGGCATTAAACAAATGAGAATGCCAACCAGAAAAGTTTGTGATAAACACAGGCTGAGACTGTAATGAAACACAATTTTTTAAAATCATGTACCCTACCAAAATTAATTCAAGAATGCATAGAAAATGGTTCTAGTCTATTTTTTCTTATTTTATTAGGTTTTGAGAACTTCAAACGCTCGTTTGGATCATATCCATCCTTTCCCTCACTCCTTCCAGAGCAACCCGCCCCATCCAATTTCCTGGCTTTATTATTATTATTATTATTATTATTATTATTATTATTATCTCTTATCCTCAGCGCAGGGTGGGTCTCCATGTCCACAGCTCTGTGCTGGGAGTAGGTCTGAGTTGAGCTCATGTAGATCTTGTGCACGCCATCACAACAGCTGTGCACTTATCTGAACAGCTGTCCTGCTGTGTCTGGAAAACATGGTTTCACTGCAGTCATCCCAAACCTCTGGTTCTTAAACTCTTTCGGCAGCCTCATCCTGGGGAGGAGGAGGTGTGAGCGAGTTGTCCCGTGTCGGCTGAGCTCGCATTCTCTTCGCCTTAACCAACTGTGGGTTTCTGCGTCAATCCCCATCAGCCACAACAGAAGCTTCTCCAATGAGGGTTGAGAGATCCATGGATATAAGAGTCAGTTTGACAGGCGGTGGTGGTGCACACCTTTAATACCAACATTAAAGGAAGAGAAAGGCAGATCTCTGTGAGTTCAGGGTCAGCCTGATTTATAAAGAAAGTTCCAGAACAGCCAGAGCTACGTTATAGAGAGACCTTGTCTGAAAAATAAAACAGCAGTAAGTTTATATTATGTCCATTTAGCAATAGTAATGCACAGTCAACTTTTTTCCAAAAACAAAGTCCAAACACAGACGGCCTTTCTGTTACTATAACCTGATAAACATTATCGAGGACATAGAGGAAAAGGAAGATAAACCCTGCCCGGCCTAAGCTGTTCTCTGTGACTCCCATTCCTACCATCCCCCAACACCAACTCTATTCTCAGTCACGCAGAAGATAACTGGGGTCAGCTTATGTTCTGTCCCTCTTTATCTTGCCAGACAAGGTTCCGTGGTCCTGGTGTCCTCAGTCGCAGCCTATATACCGTTTCCTGTAAGTATGACTCTCTGTGGCTCCAGTCAGATTAGAGGAAACTCCCTTTTTTCAGAAAATGGGGTATGTGGAAATAACCGGACATTTAACAGAGGCTTTCTCAGAACTGCTCATAGGCAAAAGAGGCATTCATCTTCTATAAATGCCTGTAGGAGGAACATGTGCCCTCTCTTCTGGACACTGACTTCCAAACTTGGTGATCAGGATACTAACCAGGACAGATTCCCCGAGAAGAGTGCAGGAAACACAAGTGTCTCTTCCTTGTCCTCAATTCCAGTCTCCCCATCTGGCCCTCTTTCTGTCCTCAGAGGCTGGGAGTCTACAATGTCAGTAAAACAGCCCTGCTGGGATTAACCAAGACCCTGGCAGTAGAGCTAGCACCGAAGAACATTCGAGTGAACTGCTTAGCACCAGGCGTCATCAACACGGACTTCGGCCGGGTGGTGAGGACCAAGGGCAAGAAGCTCGTCCAGCCCCTGAGTTCTGGGCGCCTGCCACCTCCCAGATATGCCCCTGCACTCTTTTTTCTAAGTCTCTCATATGATCATCCTGACCACAATTTCCCCTCCCTCCACACCTCCGAGTTGTCGGCCCGCCACCTCCCCTCTCCTGGAGACCCACTCCTCCTCTTTCCCTTCAGTAAAGAGCAGTGCCCCAGCGATATCAGCCAAACACAGCATTACAAGATACAAGACCAGGCACCAACCCTATCAAGGCTGGACCAAGCGATCCAGTAGGAGGACAAGGGTCCCACAAGCTGGCGAAAGAGTCAGAGACACCCCTCTCCCATTGTGAGGAGTCCTACAAAAACGCCAAGCCAAACAACCACAGCATGAGTGCAGAGGCTCTAGTTTGGACCCATGCAGGCTCGGTGATTTTCGCTTCAGTCTCTGCCAGTCTACGCGACCCCTGCTTAGTTGCTTCTGCGAGCCGTGTTCTCCTAGTGGGTCCTGCAATCTTAAACCTTTTGGTCTCCTTTTCACTCAGATGTTCTGGTCCACAGCTTTGGGAATCCACATTAGAATCAAAATCAGGGTCATCCCAGAGTGTCCCCAGAGAAGCCCTTTCACAAACATACAGCATGCGTCCTGCAGAGCCCATGTGACTGCATCCTGCGTGAACGGGACTCTAATTTCTGACCTTGCCTTTAGCTCACGGAAGACCCGGCCTTTGAGGACCATTTGAAGTACGTCTATGGAATGCAGAGGTAGGTTATCATGAGGCAGACTCCCCTGTAGATCTGACTTAGCATGACCTCAGAACCTACATGAAAGAAGAGACGCCAGAGTCTGTTGCTCTGTGGGTCATTAGCCACTCCCCAAAGGCTCCTAGCAGAGCCCATAAGCCTCCGCTTGTGAATCTTTGCTCATCCCCACGGGGTCTTGATTCGGCAGCTTCCCACAGTGCATGGGGCTGATGTGAGGTCATCACTGTTTCAGCCTCCTCTCCTCTCTCCATACAGAGTGGGTCAGCCTGAGGACTGTGCAGGAATCGTGTCTTTCCTGTGCTCCCCAGAGGCCAGCTATATCACTGGTGAGAACATCGCTGTAGCTGGCTGGTCCCCCCACCTCTGAGGGGTCAGAGCTCAGGCTTGCCTCCCATGTCCCTAAGGCCATATGTGATAATGTTTTTAAAAATAAGTCTGTGTTCCAAATGTGTACACTTTGGCTCAAAGTTTTTAGAGAAATAAAACCTCATCAGAAAAGAGTTTGTAATGCAAAACTTGGTTAAAATGAACAAAACAATCTCAGTTTGCCAGAAAACAAAATGTGGGATTAGGGAATCTTGAGTCAAAAGAAGAAGGTGTAGTTGGGCAGGGAAAGTGCTAGAAGCAAGGACAGCAAATTGGTTTTCTGTGCATGTTACCAAATGCTTTTGAGCAGAGTATTTCCTAAAGGGTCCTGTGAGCCTGGTCTCTTAATAGCTAATTCTGCAGCTAAGGAAGCTGAGACTTAGAGTGGATGGCCTGAGAAGACGTACGTAGTGTGTGAGACGGAGCTGAACTCAACATTGTTTCTACAATAGGGTGGAAGTGGCCTGGACTCACGCCCGAGGGAAGAGCATTCCCCGGGCTGCTCATTCTCCCGTCAGGTTCATAGCTAACTGCTTCCCTGCACACGCCTGCTACAGTGTGCTAGCTGAAGAAAACCTTTGTCTTCATGAGTTTATTACCTCGGGTATTTCTTATAATTATGGGAAGCTAGCTAACATACACGGAATGACTGCTGAGGTTTTCTTTCTGAAAACTCAATTCCAGGGTTCCCCAGAGTCCAAAGATTCTCAGATAGTTGACACAAACCATCACTGCCCCCTACCTCAGCTGGGTCAGAAGCATCGTCACCTGAAAGGGACAGAAAAATATATCTCAGTGCCCTTCTACTGACCCTTAGAGAAAGATGTAAGCAAAAAGAGAATACGGAATGGAGAGAGCCAAACGGAGGTATAGAGAAAGGAGAACTAGAACCTAAGCCTATATGTTTAGAGACCACACCTGTAAGAAGCAACACAAATTACACAGCCTGACCAACTCAGAGAGCTCCTACCCAGATGCTAAGCCAGTGAGTGGGTATACTAGATGAATTCCTTAACAGCACACATCATACACACACATGTGCATATGTACACGGAGCAGGTATACATGGACTATGCTCTTGGAGGATCTCAAGGATTCTTCCTTGAGTGAAAGAAAGACGAATATACTAAGAGAAACTAACATCGCTGGGAAGGTTAAGGGTTTTTGTGAGCAAAGAATGGCTGTTGGTAGCTGGCCTTGGAGGCACACACCTTTAATCCCAGCACTCTGGAGGCAGAGACAAGTGGATCTCTGTGAATTCAAGGCCAGCGTGGCCCACAGAATGAGTTCCAGGACACTAAGGTAACACAGAGAAACCCTGTCTCAAAAAACGAAAGAAAGAAAAGAAAGAAAGAAAGAAAGAAAGAAAGAAAGAGGGAGAGAAGGAGGGAGGGAGGGAGGGAGGGAGGGAAGGAAGAAGGGAGAGAGGAAGGGAAGGAGGGAGGAAGGAAGGAAGGAAGGAAGGAAGGAAGGAAGGAAGGAAGGAAGGAAGGAAGGAAGGAAGGGCTATTGAGGAAGCATCTACAGGACTGGTATCTCCTATTGTCCAAGTAACAATAAGAATCCAAAATAGCAAAAGGATGGCTCATGGGTGAAGTACTTTCCACACAAACTTGAGGACCTGAGCTCATACGTCCAGGACCCACAGTCAGGTACAGTAGCGCAAGTGTCTGCAACTCCAGCACTCCTGTGATGAGATGGGAGGCGGAGGCATGAGAATCTCTCAAAGACCTTGACCAGAGAGCCTGGCTTACACAGCCGCTCACAACAAAGGCACAACAAGGCAAAAGGCAGAGACTGCGCTGTTCTCTGACCTCCGCACATTCACCCACTCACACATGTGAATATGCACATGCACAGCACACACACATTAAACACACACGTATAAAGATAAAAATATTTTTGCCAGGCAGTAGTGGCACACTCCTTTTACTCCAGCACTTGAGAGGCAGAGGCAGGCAGATCTCTGTGAGCTTGAGGCCAGAAGGAATTCCAGAACAGCCAAAACTATACAGAAAAACTTTCTCAAAAAACAAAAACAACCCCTCCCCAAAAAGAAGATTACAATATTTTAAAATATGGGTTGGAGAGATGGCTCCAGGGGTTAGGAGCTCTGGATGCTCTTCCAGAGGAGCAAGCTTTGTTTCCCAGAACCCACAATCACCTGCAACTTCAATCCAAGATATACGATGCCTCCTCTGTCCCCACAGGCACCCAAGTGGGGCTCAGATGCATATGCAAGCGAAACGCTCACACAGGTAAAAACATTAAGAATTTTTTAAATAAAAATAAAATAGAAAAACCATCCCATCCTAATTGTTCTCCAAGGAGCAAAGCTATGATCATTATGAGGGATTTCTGAGCCACGGAGATATTAGCAAGGGCTAACAGGCAGTGGCATTAAGGCTAATAGGGTAGAGGGCAGAGATGGCTCAGTGGTTAAGAAACTCGCTGCTCTTGGAGAGAGTTCTCCCTAACTCCAATTGCAGTGGATCAAGTGTCTTTTTCTGCCTCTCACGGGCACTTGTACATACACTGTGCACAGATGCATACATTGACACATAATAATTTAGACTATACAAACACATAAATAAAAATGATCTTTAAAAAACTAATAGAGTTGGGGCTGGAGAGATGGTTCAGTGTTTAAGAGCACTGCCTGCTTTCCAAAGGTCCTGAGTTCAATTCCCATCAACCACATGGTGGCTCACAACCATCCTGTAATGAGATCTGGTGTTCTCTTCTGGCTGCAGACAGACATGCAGGCAGAACACTGCATACATAATAAATAAATATTTGAAAAAAACAGAACTAACAAAACCTAATAGAGCAGCTGCTGACTAGTAGGGGCTGGACCATTCTAGTCCTTCCAGTCTGAACTAGGACCCTCGCAGCCACGCCACGTGAAAGTGGACAACCGGTCCCTGTTTCGGCTGCTACTCCCAGCAAAGCGCAGCAGATACACGGACCTTGTCCTGTTGCCTCTGTCTGTCACACACAGATATTGGTACGGGTCTTGTAACTACTGGAAACTTTTTGCCACTTCTATTTTGGGGTTTGAGGGATTTATAGATGCTTTCCAGGGCCTTAGGGCTTTAAAAATAGGATGTGGGGAAGATATGGTCACTATGCTGTGCTATCTCCACTCCCTGAGAACTTGGGAGAAGAACACTCCAGGAAAGGAAATGCCCTGGATGAATTAATTCACCTTATTCTAGAGGGTGCTGCGACACATTTGTGTAGGTCACATTGTTTGGAGCAAGAGTTCAAGAAACTAGACTGAAAAGTATAGAAAGTCTGAGTGCTGTTGTCACAGTTTAAAAGGGGCTTGGGCTCTTATGTTAACTGTATTAGAGTCACAGAAATTAAGGGATGAATCTCTCTTTCCCTCTCTCTCTCTCTATGAGAGAGAGAATACGTGTGTGTGTGTGTGTGTGTGTGTGTGTGTGTGTGTGTGCAAGTGGGGGGGACAGGGGAGGAATTTCTTAGAATGACTTAGAGGCTGCAGCCCAACAATGGCTAGTTGCGAACGGAAAATGCAATAATCTAGTAGCTGCTCCATCCACAAGGCTGGGTGTCCCGGCTACTCTTCTGGATGTGCTGACAAGGGGAGGGACGCAGGCAAAGAAGAGCCTGTTCCTCTGTTGTCCTCGTATAGCTCCCAGCAGAAGGTGTGGCCCAGATTGAAGGTGTGCCTTTCAACCTCTAGGTCTGGATTAAAGACTTGTTGTCTTCTTGCCCAAGATCCAGATCACAAGTGTGTCTTCCATTTCTGTGTTATAGTTCATTTCAGACATGGTCAAGTTGACAACCAAGACTAGGCATCACCCTTACTTCCCAAACCTGTGCATCCAGCACAGAGCAATTGAGACAGAAGCCCCTTACTCCAACAGGTTAGAAACGATTTCTTTACAAGCAGCTTCATGATTTCTGTGAGTCCCAAATCCTCTTTCAGTTTCCTAGAAGGCAACAAAGGAAGAAAGTAGCTTAAAATAGGTCTAGTCTATGGCTACCTGCCACACAACAAGACCAAGCCAACAACAAGATCAATTAACATTGAAACACTCACTCAGTGGGTTTCTGATGGCCCTTCTTGGTTAACTACATTTGGAATTAACAAAACCCAAGCAGTGAGAGCACCTGTGAGTGACTTTTCTTTAATTATTTAATCATTTGAAGTGGGAAGATACACTTTTAATCTAGAGCTTTTGTGGTGGGAAGATCCACCTTCAATCTGGGCCACACCTGGTGGAAGTCTACATAAAGGACTTGGAAGCCGGAAACTCTCTCTTTGTGCCTGGTTGCCCTCACTTTGGCTGACAAGTCCACTCCTTGGCCGGCATTAGAGCCTACTTCTTCATTATACCATCATATACTAAAGACCAGTTGAGACATCTAGCCTCGGGGACTGAACAACTACAAAGTTCTTGGACTTCCCATTGGGAGTCATTGTTGCTTACCAGCAATGGACTAGCAGGACCACAGCCTGTAAGCTACTCTAAAATCCAGTGTGTGTGTGTGTGTGTGTGTGTGTGTGTGTGTGTGTGTGTGTGTGCGTGTGAGATCAATGAGAGAGAGATTCAGTCTATCAGTTCTGTACCTCTACAGAACCCGATCTATTACAGGATTTGGTGACAGAGTGGTTTTCGAGTGGTGGAAGTGTAAGGATGAACTTTTTAGGTAAGTTTCCAATTTGCCAACAGCTACAGTTACTGACACCACTCCTTAAAGCTCAGAGGATATTGAAAGCCCGTGGTGTAAAGTATTTTACAAGTTTGTAGAGACAAACACACTCGACTATCTTGATGCATCAATTGTGAAAGGCAACAGATTTGGGCACTCTGCACATAAGACGACTTTTGACTATCTATGAAAAAAGAAGGAAAATGGAGACGCTGGTTGGTTGCTCCTAGCATCTCTGAATAAACTGAGAAAGGAAAATAATGAGTTCTGTGATAATGTTAACAACTTCTAGCATCTCAAAATGTGGTGAAGGACAACAATAAACTCCGATAAAACCAACCGGCTCCAGATGTGCATAAACAGTCTAAAGGTTTCTAAGTGTGCCCAGGAAGAGAATCTTCTCTCTAGCAGCTACAGAACTCAAGTTGCAGAAAAACAAACCAAAGCTTTCATTACAAGGTTGACTGAACTATACAGAAAATTCAAATCCCGGTTGGAGAGTGTCGGAGGTTAAAGTAAGGGTGTTAATTGGTAAAGAAGAAGATCTTGTAACTTGAGCTGGAGATGTGTGGGAGGAGCCTGTTTGAACCCTCAGCTTCTCAAGGGTTTATCTCCCCTGAGGGAGTAGTCTCCACCCTCAACAGAAGATGAACTCCCACCCACCCCCCTAAAATACTGCTTTTTCTGTCTTTGATAGAAGAAATTAATCCTTCATTGTCTGCTAAACCAATAGGACAATGTTGATGCCAGGCAAAATAATACTGAAGTCCCTTAGGGCCCACCAATAGTTGCTTCTAAACCTATAACCCCATTATAGGCTAAGCAGGCTCCTAGAGGGGAGGTAGGAAACGTAGCCCAGGAAGAGGTGCGCTACACGACTAAAGAACTTACTGAGTTTGCTGATTCACTCAAACAGAAGTCTGCAGAACATGTGTGGGAATGGATTTTAGGGGTATTGAATAATTTTGAAAGGAACATAAAACTGGATCAGGCTGAGTTTACTGATATGAACCCACTGAATGGAGATTCTAGGTTTAATATGGAAGCTCACACAGTTCTGTTTGAATAACTGTCTGAAGCGTTTGTCTAAAGAAGGCCTACTGACAAGGAATTGGAACTGCCTGATCACCCTTGCTTAATGTTGAAGAACGGATTTTAAAGCTCAGGAACATTGCCTTGCTGGAGTGAATATACCGTGTGAAACCTAATCCTCCACGAGAAGGCCCGGATGGCATGCCCTTCACTGATCCTATAAGATGCACAATGGTGAGAGGGCACCAGCGCATCTGAAGGGCTTTGTTGTCGCCCCCTTCCTTCTGCCAGACCTCAGGGTTGGAGCCGCAGCTGCTCAGCTGCATGAATGCAATGCAGTGGACTTAAGTGGGCCCTGAAGTAGCAGGGGTCAGGTGGCAGCACTGAATTGCCAAAAGCAAGGCGATCATAGTTATGGTAATAGGAGGCATAGACAAAGTAATGTCCTTAATGGCCTGACCCACAATAGTCGACAGAGGCAAAGTGAATTTGACGGTAGCATAGCTCTTATGGACCCTTGGTACTGGCTAATCCATCTTGGTATTTCCTAACAAGAAATAGGTAAGAAATCTA